AATGCCTGCTCATGGTCCATTATAATCCTGGAGACAGGTTCGAGTGAAGTACATCAAGGGCCGAAACAAAAAGCCAAAGCCTTTGAACTACGAGGACCGAATTTCATCGGTCTACAGGAAGTCGAAACTAAATATAGCTTATTACTCATGGGAGAAAGGTGTGGCAAAGTCACTCAAAAATGCTTCCTGTTTTCAGGCACAAAGCTCTTTAACTTTAAAATCACTAGGCTGGTGGTGAATAGTGCTACACGCTGCTGGTGAAGGGTGACAGCCTTCGTCTAGCAAAAGCAATACTTCGGTTTGATCTGTAGCTCCATTAAAATCAAATTCATTGACCACGTAAAATAGCGCAGCAGCTTGGAACTGCTGATCAACTCCACGTGTTCCGCCGACAGATTGACGATTGCTTTAATCAACGTTTTCCACACAGGAAAGGCGAAATTACAGCAAAACCCTGAGGTACATGATAGTGGCTTTACTGTGGACCATGGTTGATTATCGTTTTGTGTTGTTAGTCTTGTTAGTTCGTGCAGTTACGATTTCGAGTTTCAAGTACATAAATGAGCCATGTTCGTTGTTTGCCAAGATATCAACAGATTTGGAAACAAAAGAAGGAGACACGGTTGAAATGAGGATGGTATACTGTACGCTTAGTCACCTGGAGAATGAATCACTGAAATTCAATTTTGATATCAGCTGGGCTTTTAACGCCACAACGGACATAAACCACTATAATTTAGTCTATGTCAGTGTCGTGTTGTGGTGCATATCGCCATTTGAGCTCGATTTCATTAACCCGCACAACATGGAGAAAAAAAACATCGTACTGGCTCTCTCACTTAGAGGTGTGTGCAAAGCGTCGGTACAAAATCTCGCTGTCTTTGCAAAAGCAACCGACTTACGACTTCTGGGTCTGAAAGGAACGAAGGCTACATGGTTGGTTGCACCTGGCTTTAGGAACGTAACTCATGGAAATGACAGTTTAACAAACGACATGAAAAGGCTATCATACTTGGTGCTCCAAGACAGTTTTCCAGCAGACATACGCGCTACGTTTTCCGACTTAAACAACGTCTGGCGGGAAATGGCTGAAGTTAACTTTGAGCGAGTACCGGTGAAAGGAATCCCGGAACAATGGAAGACTACCATGCCATTGCTACAAAGGCTTCTCATGGTAGAATGCAATTTGACGAAACCACCAGAATTTCCTTGGAGCGACTCTACCCTGGAGTATCAACGTGGGCTGAGAAGGACAGCTGATAGTTTCCATACTGTAACGTCTATCCATGTTCAAGGTAACCTTTACGTTCGTGTATTGCGTTTGGATTACAATAACATTGTTGACCTAACGTCTCACGAGTTCAGCGGATTGTTGCATGTGTTAAGCCTGCGAGGAAATGGCTTACGGACTATTGGGCCGTTATGTTTTCGCAAATTACGTGGAATTCAAAGGATTGACCTCAGCAGAAATAATTTAGTGTCCTTACCTCAAGATCTGTTTCAAGGGCTGACCTCATTACGACAAGTCTATCTTCGTTCAAACAAGTTGAAGATTATTGAACAAAAACTATTTAAAGACCTGAAAAATGTCACGATTGTTCACCTTCGGCAAAACAACCTGGACTATATTCCAAAGGGACTGTTCAACTCATTAGATTCCTTGAAAATCCTAGATATGGGAACTAATAACATCACACAAATTGAAGAAAATCCTTTTTCAAAGAATGCCTCTTTGCAAGTGCTGTACCTCGACAACAACAGACTTTTTTGAGCATCCCTTCATGGATATTTCTTCTGCCAGACATAAGGCTTATCAACCTCTCTTCTAACGGATTAAAATTTCAGGATCTTAACAAGGCACTAGACAGTTTAATTTTACCGGTCGAGGGTGAAACAAAACAGCTCAGAGAACTTGATTTGTCGGGCAATAACATTACCACACTAATAGATTCCGATGGTTTAAAAATGATTAAACGGGACGAAAGAAACAATCCAATTTATCAAGCCAAGTATCTCTACCTTTGGAAATCGTATTCGATCAAACTGAATGGAAATCCGCTGGCTTGTGATTGCATTATGTCCGCTGTGGCGCAAGAAGTAAAGAAATTGGTGCAAAGCCGTCCTCACATTCGATTCAGGTTTTCAACCTGGAAATGTCATTGGCCACAAAGATTGAAAAACAGAATGATACTAGAGATTGAAGAAGATCAGTGGATAGTGAGAGAAGAAAAAGGCAATACCAAATGTCCAGTCCAGTGCATCTGCCTGGAACGCTGCTCAGATAGAAGAATGATTGTTGATTGCGAAAGGAGGAATCTTACCGAAGTACCAAGCGTGGTGCCACAGGGTCTGGTGGAGCTTAACCTAGAAGCCAATGCTATTCAGAGTGTTCCAGCTTATCCTTACATGGTTAATGTTACCATATTAAGACTTACCAATAACCAAATTAAGTCACTGACGGCTTCCACAGTGGAGAGACTCGAGAATATCGAGATTTTGCTTATCGATGCTAACCAACTGACAACTTTACCGAGGGAAATCAAGACTCTTAATTTCACAACGTTAGCATTGGATGGAAACTTTTTCAAATGCGACTGCACAACCAAGTGGATGAAAGACTGGCTAGTGAAGGAAAGGAATCGGATAAAGAACATTGAAAGAGTTCTTTGTAACTCTGAGCATGTTCATGGGCAACCAATGTACAGTTTACCAGACGACCAGTTCATCTGCCTTCCTCAGCTTAAAGAAAAGAATGCAGGAATCATAGCCGCGTGTATTCTCGGTGCGCTCCTAGCCTTAGTAATGATTGTCGCTGTCTTAATATACAAGTACAATGGAGAAGTCAAGGTCTTTATGTTCACCCACTTTAACTGGCACCCGTTTGATCGTATAGATGACTCGGATCCAAACAAAATATACGACGCTTTTGTATCGTTCAGTGGCAATGATGTCGGCTGGGTCGTAAACACATTACAGAGACGTCTTGAAACACACGATCCTCCTTACAAACTGTGCATTCACCACCGCGACTTTGAGCCTGGAGTTCCAATTGTGGAAAATATATGGAAAAGCCTTGATCAAAGCAAGCGTATGCTAGTGGTGCTCTCTTCGAGCTATGCTACAAGTGATTGGTGTTTGATGGAGTTTCGTGCCGCTCATCGCAAAGTGATCGAGGATCGCATGAAGTACCTGATTTTGATACTGTTAGAAGATGTGGACACCAACCAGTTGGATAAAGAGATACAGAATTACCTGCGCTCTAACACCTATCTAACGGTGAAAAGCAAGTGGTTCTGGCAAAACCTATTTTATGCAATGCCCTTTCCGACCAGGGAAATAACAAGCGAAAGGAATCAGGAGCATTTCGCCGCTATAGAAGAAGAACGTGAGATGGCTTGTAATACTGGAGACACAGTAGAACTTGTTTGAAGGGCCGTTTGTAGCAGGATCTACCAGGGAGGTAGCGAACCAAACGTTTGTACAAAAGTGAACTCCAAATAACCGATAGCAAATGGAACACCATTTTCAATTTGTGTCGAAAGCAGTACGAGATTGCTACGGATTTGCTTTACTTCGTGGTGTGATTAGTCCAAAAACCCCTCGCTACGCCCTCCATCATATAGATGCAAAACTAAAACTTAGTTTCCCGCGTTTGTCAGCGCTTTGGGCAGTTAGTTGCTTGGTTTTAGTATAAGTTCTCTTTGGTTCCTTAGGGCATTTTCTCCTCTTCTGATAGATCTTTGTGATAACTCTGGTTTTTGTTCTACGACACTCGATCGAAAAGCGCTGTATCGAGAGATATTGGTCAACGAATTAAGCGGTATCGAAGAAAGTACTTTCACCCCTTCTGATATAATTACACTATTTTTTAACAACGGAAACCTGCAGCCTTTTAACCAAAACCTGAGAACTACAGATATCATAGGGAAGAGTATACCATTTTCTTGTAAAGAAAGAATTGAGTGAATAGTTAGCTCGGCCAGTGTAAATGAAGGCTGAGGGTTGTATCGTGTAGTTGAGACTTTCTAAATATGCCCTTTGTCGCTAAGATCTGTTACTTCCATAGATTCAGGAGTAGTTTCACATTAAAAAGCCAGCTGACACAAGACTGTGAAGGTGTCTGTCTGATCTTGTTTGAAACTGCGATGTGAATTCATTTGACTGAAAATCTAAAACCACTTGCACCGTGTTTACTTTCCTAACTCGACCCTCCCTCCCTCCCTTCCCTCCCTCTCTTCCCTCCCTCCCTTCCCTCCCTCCCCTCCCTCCCTCCCTCCCTCCCCTCCCTTCCCTCCCTCCCCTCCCTCCCTACCTCCCTCCCTCCACATGACAGCCACTTTTTTATACGTGCGCAGTGCTTTATCATGCAGTAAAAGTTTAATATCATTCAGTCTCGAACGCCAGCGTTGCTCGAGAAATGAGCCCACGCTCTTCCCCTAACGGCATTCAAGGAAACAACAGACATAGCGTTTAAACGTTTACGCATGTGCGAACCTTGTGGTGGCTAGCTGGAGTGCTCTCAGGCCAAAAACCAAATTAAATTGTCTAGCAGGAATTATAATCAAACTAGGAAGTCCCGCTTTTTTAAACGCGTACGCCTTGTTTGATAAAAGCTCAAAACAAAATGGTTAATTATCAGGATATCCGTTAGCAAACAGGCTTGTGAACAAAACTCTCAAGCTTTCGTTTTCCATACTTTTGTTTCAATAGGCCATTTTATAGATGTGTACTCAGCTGCCAAGCCGCTAATTTATTGTGAGGTAGTAGCTGACCGTGTTGAAATAGAGACCAGTATCTAGTTAGCATGATAACAAAGTAATTTAAATTTGAAAAGCAGCTAGGTTTAACAAGGTCACCCTTAGCCTCACTCCAGTTCAAAGCACGAAACTGTAAAATGGACTATTTTCAGAGTTCTATGGACGTTTCCATTTCCCCATATTATGCGTGACGGTGATTGTTTCTTCCTTTGAGTTGTTGGTCAGGAAATTGGTGCCAATTTGGCGCGCAGCCAGCCGAGATTGATCTCCATGCGCAGACTCGTCGTTTGACCACAGGTGGCCCAAGCTCCGATTGTGAGATGATTATCTCGCGACGTAAGAGTCGTGGCGAAATTACAAGAGTTTGTATGGCAATACGACCGCTATTAGAAATAAAGAGATGATCATCTTGCGACATAAGTCATGATAAGTCATGGCGAAATTATAGGAGTTTGTATGGGAATATTTACGACCGCTCTTGGGAATAAAAAAATGCAGTCAAATTCTCCATAAAAATACCTCACCTTACCTCCACAGAGCATCGCTTGCTATCTCACCACTTACTACGTTTAAAAGAACCCATTTTAGCGAGTTATCCATTTCTAGGTTTACTACGTACACAGGAGAAGCTTCTCTGTGGTTTGACCGTTATGCTTGAGATCTGAAATGAGAATTCTGACGCATATTAGCACCTAGCAGCACGCTGTAACACGAACACTGTGAAAAAAGGCGGCGAAGGGAAATAAAAAGAGGACCAAAAAATACAAATATTGGAATTTCCCGTACATAACAGACTATAGTTTGTATTCCACCGCCATTCTTTCTAAAAAAATGCGGAGGGAATTTGGAGCGACGCGAGGAATCTTCCTTATATTTTTCAGTAATCAGGGTTACTTTTTCCGTGAGGTGCCAGTGGTAAGGTAGGGTTTCATGGTGTTCCTTAATCATCGTCCACGCAAATTTAATTAATTCTTAAAATAATTAAAAATGTTTGACCTTTTCCGTATCTCATAGTAATGAATGCTAAATTGGCGTCTTAGATATTTTCCAAGTCAACGCATTGCAAATAGCTCATCATAACTAACTATTGCCCCCGGATGTTTCTCAGCTTGTTCCCTGCAAATAGGCAAGTACACAGTTATGATACAAGAATAGCCAGTTGCTATCGACCAAATAACTGACCTACTAATCTTATATACAATTTACAATACTCTACCAAAGTCCTAAAATTTGAAATTCTCTCCCAATGTCAATCACTGGTTTGACTGGCGTTTTTACTTTTAAAAGAAAGATGATTTTTTTTAAATGAAATGAGTCTGAATTGGCCAAGCCGCACATACACATCCACAACATTTTGACAACCGAGGTGGCGTCTCCTATAAGCCTGATGGTTTCTTGGAGTTCTCCTCACCCTGCCATACTGTTAAACGTGTATGAATATTATTTCTGGCTAATAAATAACAAGATGATGATGATGATGACTATACGGATTGTGGATTTTGCGCCCATTTTTGTAGACTTAGCGACTCAAAAATGTGGACTTGACATCCCTTCTGTTGACTTAACGACGTTTTGTGGACTGAGCGACTGTGGACTTAACAACACTGTGTTGACTAAACGACATTTGTGTGGACTGAACGACTTTCTTGGTGGATTTTACGACTTGATAACTTTAAGGCAAAACTATTTCCTGTTGTCTTTTTCAACATATCTGCTGTTTCGCCGTCTTCAAACTCAAACAAGTAATAATGGAGCAATGCAGTTTTTTATATATTTTGGACTCTTTGGACCTTTCTTTACAAAACATATGAAATTTTGAAGACATGAAATTTTTAAGTCTCGTAAAGAACAGGCGATTCCACAATGTTATCACATAAAACCACCAATTGAATTGCGAAGTCATAAAATGAAATTTTTAGCGAAAACCCATCCTAACCTTGCGTGTGGCAATAAAATGTAACTGAACTAGTAACGTCGATGTGGTGATACATGTGTCAAAACCAGGTTGACACTTGTTAAAAGTATTCTTCTTGTACAATCCAAATATTAAGCATGCAGGGCGTGCTACTGAAGTTTATATTATGCCACACTCTCTTGAAGCCATACATGAATATTTGTAATACAACTTGTAGTCCATTAACAAAGATATAAACTTAACCTTTTATTAAACGAATAAATGATAAAGTTCTCAAGAACTTCAGATTGGCCTTTACTTGATACAAGCGTCCACGCGCAACCAAGACAAACATAACGCACCTTTTTGGTAATTTTTCTTCTATATTATACAAACTAAACGTTGGAAAGTTTCTTGGTATTTCTTAACTTGCTCTATCTTCAAGCGTCAAACGAATAAATGATAAATTTCTCAAGAACTTCAGATAACTAACTTCTCCATTCCCTGATATGGGTCGTAAGAAGGCCTCTTATCTTGTCAGTCACCTTTTGCTTTGTGTATTTTTCGTATAAGTATCCGTGGCGATTCCGTTTCAATCGGTTCACGACCTCTTTCTGCTCTATCTTCACGCCATTTTGAATCATGTCTTTGAAAAGTTCTTTGAATAAGGAGAACTCTTCTTCCTCAAATATTCTGGTTTTACTTTGATTTGTTGGTGCAACTGTAAGTGAGTTGACATCGCTATCCTCGATGGCGTCAACACTTTTCTGGGTGTCTTCCAAACATTCACCATCAGTAGTTTTTTTGAATGGATATAATCGTCTCACTTTATCATGCAGTCTTTTGTTTTCACAATTTTTGAGCAGTGGATGGTTATGCTCAAGTTTCAAAACTTCTGCCATGGTAACCGACTGGCGACGTATCTGTTCTGCAAAAATGTCTTGGACTGTCATTTACTCTTCCTCCGACCAACTCTGCCGTGCAAGTGGTGAAGGTGCAGGGAAATGTTCAACAATAGACTCAAAGTTGTTTTCTCTTTCATGCGATGATACGACAGGAGCTGAACTGCCATGCATAATGGTAGCTAATTGCTTGACTGCTAATGCAGACTTTGTTCGTTTTTAAACTATGTGGTAATGTCTATCTGCCGTACGCTCACTGTGTACGATATGAGCAGCAACACTCCCCTTCACTTCTTTTTTGTGGTTACGGACAGCTGTTGTTCAGGACTTCCTCATAAGAGTCCCAGATGTGCGTGTGTTGTTCACAATCATACCAGCCTTTCTCCACACACTTGTTAATGCTGCTCAAAGATCACTACTTGATTCGCTCCTCTCCAATTTAAAAACAAAGCGATGCCTTCCCCGCCTGTGCCAACTTGATTTCTTGCACATTTCACATAAATGTCCTCCCATACCTTCAAGCTTTCGTCGAAACAAAGATTGGCGTGACCGTGGTGTGAAAAAGTCTTGTGGTCCTTAACCGCAACCAAATAGGTGCTCTGGTTTTACTTTGATTTGTCGGTGCAACTGGCATTGCTATCCTTTCTCTTTTTGCGAACTCTTGTAGTTTTTCTGGTGTTATGTGGCGAGACAAATCTTCCTTATCTTTTTTCCCAGAATCTCCGTTTCACGTCTTTCCTTAAACTTTTGTTCCACTTACCGCATTTTCTGTACAAGGCATCTGCCATTTTAACACATTCTTGAGAAATTCCAACGTCATCCTCAGTCATAGCGAAAATATAAAACGTCCTTAAAGAATGTAAATAGCTAATGGTGGTTCCGGCCTTAAGGGTGGCTTTAGATTCTGGATAAAACTTGTTACGAATTTGCGCCTTGTCTAAAAGACTTTCAATGTTTTCTGTTCCAGGCATGATAAGTATTTTCTCCAATTGTCGAACGACCAAGGAGACTGATTTTGTTTCTTTTTCTCCCCCGTCAGGACTTAGAATCCACTTCTCAAACCTTTCGAAAGTTATTCTATTGTCCTGGTTCAATTGAAAATCTTCCGTGTTTATCTCTGTTCCACTGCTTTCGTCTTCATCGCAAACTAAAAACTTTGCATCATCGTCAGTCTCGGTTCCTTCAAAGTCATCTTGCATCAAAGTGCTTTCGTCCTCTTCATTCAAAGAGGTGCTCATTTTTTCGATCATGCACTCGCTTACCAGTTAAGCTTTTCTTAAGAGAGCTGTTATTTTCCCTCTTCTTTTCTTCCAGTTGTATGTTAATTGTCTCATGAACAAAGGTTTCGTCAATCTCACTTACTGTCTCACTCTCACTTACTGTCTACATACTGCGGCTTGCGACAGTCTGTCTAGCCATAAACAGGTTGCGATCCCTTTGATGCCCTCCAGAACTGTTTGGTTCCTCTCTGATATAGCCATGTTGTTTCTGAAGGTGCTTTGAGAGGTACCGTTGCTCGCGTCTGCAGTCAATGCAGTATTTCTGCTTCCGCTTCTCCTGTACGGCTTTGGGTTTTTTGGAGTTTCTCTGCTCGTGACGCATGTCAAAGAGATTGACAGCATTTCATCCATGGACATTTCTCAAATGTCTTAGGAGCTAATATACTTTTGCACCACAACGAAGAGGGCAGTCAAACTTGTTTCTCATTTGTGACTTAAGCTCTTTGACAAGGAGCAGATTTCGTCATAAATACAGCTTACCCGCTTTGCAGCCCGGCTTCATGGCTCACTTCAGAATTTTTCTAATAACCAAATTGGTGAAATCCATGATAACTTCAACAAATAGCTAGGTATTGCCTTCGAAAAGGAGTCTCTCGTCTCTACGAACAAGATGGGCCGTAAGCAAACCAAGGGGCAGCGTTAGATTTTCAGAGAAGGTAAAAGAATACCTAACGGCACGGTTTACAAGTTGCAGTGGACATGCGAAATGCGAAAAATGAATCAAATGCACGTTTGTTCACTAGAGGACAGTGGCTGACAGAGAGCCAAGTTCACGGAGCTTTTTCTCCCGGCTAGCAGCAATGCGGCGAAAAGATCAGGGTGTGATCGGGATATCGCTGGATGAGGAGGAAGATATCCAATGCGTCCAGGAAAATTCCGAGAGACAAGATCTGGCAGACAAAGTTAACAAAGAGATCAAAGTCTCACATCCAATCTGCTACGATACGTAGGACCTGTGTGAACGTTACCACAGTAACACACTTAAGAAATTCAATGTGGCTTTGTTGAGAGCCATCTGTAGTCATTTTGAGATCCCTGTAAAATTGAGTGACAAACTGTCGGACGTGATTAGTGATTAGACAAACTTTCGGACGTGATTAGTGATTTTCAATGTGTTTCTCAGTAGACTTATGTAAACAATGTCTTATACGGTGGCTGAAAGTGTAGAATATGCTCTACAGATACAAACTACCTTTACTTCCGATATCAAGTTCTGACGGCGTTGTTATAGCGTATTATATTATAATATCTAGTAGTCAGTGAAATGTTTTCATGAAATCGATTGAAAATTTACCAAAAGCAACACTTATAACATCTGTTCATACGAAGCATGTGTCAAGTTTTTAACACGTTGGTAGCCGATTTCTCCGGCTATTGACAGGTTGTTGTTCTGTGGATACAATCGACGCGGAACCGAGAGAAGCGAGCTCAGGATGTTTGAAATTGATTTATTAATTATATGATATCAAACTCTAGGTAAAAGCATTTATTCTTTTCGTCCAAATTTTTTCTCTCCAAATATTACATTGGGATACAAAACAAAACCATACGGCACAACGTACGGCACAAGCTATCAGCGGTCTTCTCTTTTGTGCGGACCTTTGTGAGAACAGTATAACATCGAACTGGACCTAAATTTAAGCGATTATTTCTTCACTTCAGAAGCCTAAAACCTTCATTTCTCCCTCAGCTTCCAGACATGGAGAGTTTATATTCTGATTTTGGAAAAAATTCAGCTCTGCAGCGATGTTAAATGGGTGATTCACCGCGAAATGTGGCCAATTCCGACATTTGTTTTGATGCCACGAATCACGATGGATGCCGCCTACTTTTCGAAGGCAATACCTAGCTATTTCTTGAAGTTATCATGGATTTCACCAATTTGGTTATTAGAAAAATTCTGAAGTGAGCCATGAAGCCGGGCTGCAAAGCGGGTAAGCTGTATTTATGACGAAATCTGCTCCAGTGGTTCGATTTTGGTGTAGGCGAAAAAATCGCGAATGCTCTTACATGTGCTGATTCAAACGGTCATAACTTTTGAAAAATCGAAAACGTACAGGGATTTTTGCGTATTTTTACCTATAAAGGTCTAAAATTAACGGCTGTGTAGGATAGAATCATCAACCAGGTCCCAAATTCCAAAACTTAACGTCTAAATCAAGGTTATTTACGGTCATCGGCCGATGGCGATTTCTAGTGGTCAGAATATGCTAAAATTCGCCTTTTCAAATATATTGAGAGGGCAAATTCTAACTTTCTTGGCAAACTAGAAAGGTTTTTAAGCAATCTGATATAAATTCTGTGGCTTAACTATGCGAATCAAATATTTTACAATGTTACAAAATATGCCTATTTTTCAATTTTCGAGACGTTGCGACGGTCCCTACGGACTGGAAAATAATTATGGCCCCTAATGCAGTCAGAAAATTATTTCGAATCAAACCAAATCTAATTTAGTTCTTTCCTAGGTAAAGTCTTTCTGTTGAAAGAGTTTCAGGAAATATTTTTGACGCAAAATTGACCGGGTGGAAATAAGAGAAACAGCCTCTTAAAGCACTAAATTTAATATATGTTCAAAAACTATTCCAAAAAAGAAAATTTTATATCAATAGAACACAATTGTCGAGAAGCAACACGACTGCTGAGGTCTTTCAAGCAGCTTCTGTTTTTACACAGTTTGTCATCAGCTTAAGATAATCCTTGATACTCCATGCAAAAAGAGCAATAGTGGTGAAACTGGATGGGGTTCTTTAATTTCATAAAAAATTTCTTCACCAGATTCATTGACGACGCACATTGATTTGGCCATGCACAATGAAGGCTGGCTATGGTCAACAAATCAACAAGAGCGAGTCCAGTTAGACTGTGTCGAACAGCAAACGTAATAATTAACAACATACTGACTGCCACAGTGATGTGTGCCCCACTGTATAAGGGAACATCCGCAGGTCCCCTACCTTGCTCATCAGTTTTTTCGTTACTAGCATTCGGAAAGGCACTAAGAAAAATCATATTTACGTTTTGTAACTTGCAAAAAACAATCGTGTTGCAAAGCCAAAATGTTACCAGGTTGTACTTTGGTAATTCAAAAGTTAAGTAATTTTCCAAACGCTTTGACTGGAACAATATTTTTACTGCTATATTAACCAACAGAGGCATCGGGAAAGGCATCGGTGACACCGGGAAAGGCATCAAGAAGAATGATATTTACGATAAGTAACTTGTTGTATGACGAAAAACAGTATCTTGACTTGTTTAAGGCATTAATCACAGTCGGTTTGCTTTTCACTTGAATTTTGTAATCTCGACTTTCGATTCCGGAAAAATGAAAAGCTAAACAACTCTAAAAAAAATTTCGTTCTAGATTTTTATACTTTTAGAGTCATTAATGAGTTTGTATCCACAGCCTTAAGATAAGAAATTTTAAATTTCCATCTGCTTTAGTTCTTTTAGTGTCTATTATATATATTC